AACAAAGAAAGAACTGGTTGATACCCAACTACTTCAGAAGATACTACATGATCAAAAAGCAACAGTTCTTAGTAGAAAGTCCAAACTGTACTGAAGTCATTGACAAGAAATAAAGCTTTAGGAATAAACAATATACCAAATATAATGTTTCAACAATGGAGGAAACATTTGGAGAGTTCCCTCATCTATGTTATAAAATATGGAAGATACTTTTCTGGTCAATTTATTAGAATATCTGTATTTGTACTGTTAGAAAGGTGATCTGACAGAATGCAGAAATTAACAAATATATCAGACAAATCAGTTGGTAAAGATGTTAAAAAATGATCAGTTGGTAAAGATGTTAAAAAATGATTGAAGTAGTACATTAACAGGAAATTGTTAGCTATTTAAGCTGGAGTCAAATATATCTTGGCACAGAATACCAAAAGAATCAACCTTTGTATTTGTCTTTAAGGATTTTTTCATTAAATGTAAGTTAACAAATCATATTGTTTTTACTTTCTTAAAAGTTTGAAGAAAATTCACAAATCATATTGTACTTTCATTAAATCATTCATAGACTTTTTTCAAACATTAATTACAACTGAGTAATGTAATCAACAAAATTTACAATTTAAGCAAGCCCTTATTTTATACTGCCTTTCCTTTTAACCAACTTATTAATTTCTCCTCCCCCTCAGTATATTGATCTTACAAAAGCATTTGAGTGTGTGGAGAGTGATAAATTACACATTACATTTTGAAGAATGAGAATTCCAGAACACTTAATATTGCTCAAGTGAAACTAACAGACAACTAGATAGCAGAACAAAGGCAATACTGAAGAGTTTAAAAGCAGAAAAAGTATACATCAGGTTTCCATCTTTTCACATTTATTCAAATCGTACATTGAGCAAATAATCTAAAAAGCTAGAGTATCGAGGAAAGAAAATGGCACCAGAACTGGACGAAGAACCATTAAGAACATGCAATATGTAGATTACACAATTGTGCTAGCGGAAAGCAAAAACAGACTTGACGTATTTACTGATGAAGAACAAAGCATGTTGTTAATGTTTTAAACCTTAACAGACACAAGACTGAGGTTAAAGATTTCATTTTTCTTGGATCTACAGTCAATACTCATGGGGTTAAAGATTTCATTTTTCTTGGATCTACAGTCAATACTCATGAAAGTAGCAGTTTAAAAACATAAATCAAGTAACACGCCGCAGTGGGTCAGTCTATTTCAAAAGGCTTCTTTAACTTAAAAAGCAATGTTGCTTCCAGAAAAAAGTTGTACCTAATCCAACCCATAGTGTTTTCAATCACCTCATATGCACTGAAAGTTGGACAATGAATAAAGAAGACTGCAGAACAATTAATGCCATGGAATTATAATGTTGGTCAAGAAAATGAAATATATGTCCAAGGAGAGGCAGAAGAATGAATCAACATGTTTTGGAGGAAGAATGGTTGACCCCTGGACAATCTGGGTTTGAACTATTCATGGTTCACTCACAAGTGGATTTTTAAAACTTTTTAATGCTTCGTACTGTGATGAGCATTGTAAGTAACTTTTTAAAAATGCTCTCCAGTTTGAATCCAATTCCTGCTCCTTGGGAGAAAGATAGGCTATCTTTTCCTATGCAACTTAAAACTTCTGAAATCTGCTGGAGTGTCAGCTATGACTCAGTTCCGATGAGTATTTCTTTTTTAAGGTTAGACTCTTTTAACATGCCTTAAGTTAAAACTATGTAGTTTCTTGTTGTTGTGTGTTGTTGAGTTGGAATTGATCCACAGCTGATGCTCTATCAAGTTTTCAGAGGCAATAATCAAAGGAGGAGACTTCCCATCCTTTTTTCAGAGAGCAGATGGTGGATTTGAACCATGTGCCTTTTGAATGCAGCACAGCTTCTGACTACTAGCCTATGCTAAGTATTTTAAACTTAATACAACCTGCGTTATGCAGATGACACAACCCTGCTTGCTGAAACTGAGGAGGACCTGAAGTGGTTGCTGCACAAAGTCAGGGATTACAGCCTTAAATATGGATTGAAGCTCAACATCAAGAAAACAAAGATTCTCATAACTGGGCCAAATGGCAACATCATGATTGATGGTGAAGAGATTGAGATTGTGAACAGCTTTAGTTTGTTTGGCTTGCCAATCAACACTGTTGGCAATAGTAGGCAGGAAATCAAAAGATGAATTGCATTGAAAAAGTATGCTGTCCAGAAGACCTCTAGAGTACTGAAGAGTTACAATGTTAGTCTGGAGACTAAGGTGCACCTGATATAGGCCATGGTCTTTGCAGTTACTTGCTAAGTATCAGAAAGCTGGGCAATGCCTAGGGATGATAGGAGAACTAATGTTTTCGACCTGTGGTGCTGGAGAAGAGTGTTGAATATACCATGGACTACTAAAAGAACAAACAGGTTCGTCCTCAAGAGGGTGAAATGAGGCTGCTCCTTGGAGACAAGGATTCTGAAGCTTCCTCTGACATACTCTGAGCATGCTGCAAGAAGGGACCAATTCTTGGAGAGGGACATTATGCTTGGGAGGATGGAGGGAGAGCGCAAGAGAGGAAGACTTTCAATGAGATGGAATGACTCAGTGACTGGGGTAATAGGGGATAAGTGTGTCAGAAACAATAAGGTTGGCTCAGGATAGATAGAGCAGGGTTTAGAGCTGTTGTACACAGGGTCACTATGAGTTGCAGGCAACTTGATGGCACACAACAACAACAACAAGGTGAATATGATGTTTTAAAACTAACATAGTGAATGAGAGGAAACTCTGGTGGCTTAATGATAAGCACTGCCAACCCACAGGCATGCGATTCAAATCCACTAGGTGCTCCTTGAAAAATGGGCAATCTCTTTCTCTGTGGTTTACGGTGTCTGAAAACTACTGAAGGATCAAGCAGTAAAGGGTTCCAACTTGAAAGCAAAAAAACAGCCATAGTGAATGAAAGATTCAGAGAATGCATGTTTTTAGTTTATGTGATCATTTATCAATTTTTGAGAATGTAGAATATCTACATTCTTAGGGTTTTAACAAGCAAAAAAAAAAAATAACTGTAGTAGGAACACACACAAAAATAAAAATCCTTAAAGAAATGTTAATACAATAGAGGGAAAAGACAAAGAAATTGAAATAAAACTATCTGATTTTAATGATTTTTCCAATGAAGAGTAAATAAGAGTTAGAAAAAAAAAGAGTGAACACTACAGAACTAACTAAAGAGAAATACCAAATATAAATAACCAATAAGCCATGATCAATGTGGACAGATTCATCATGGAATAATAATATAATTGTCAACAATTATGTAAGAGACAGGGATATAATTTAATCCTACCCCAATGGTAAGGCTTCACTATACTCAATGCCTAAGAGCTACTCACTGGACAAACTAAGGAAAAGTTTACCAAAAAAAATGATAGTACAACTTAAGAGGGTTCTAAAACTATGAGGGCAGATATTAAATCACCACCTTTATTTAATTCCAGACAACTCTAATTTGTTCTCTTAAGAAAACAATTCTTTTTTTGTTGTTAACTTGTATTTGAACAAATTTACAGGGTTGTACTATAGAGAAAACAGAGTATTAATAGTATATACATGTTATGCTAGGTACAACTAGTCACATTGAAAATAAAATGCTAAAAACTCACTCACTGTCTTCTGTGGGAAGGACCTGCAGGGAGTAAATCCACTCTATTATATCATCTTTGTTCACCACATCTAAGGAATCCAGCATATCCAGCCCGGAAAGTGCAAAAAATGCAATTGTCAACCTAAAAGAAAAAAATGTAAAATTCCATCTTAACTATAAAACCACTGAACTCTTTTTGGTTCAGAAAAATAATTAACTAATTCTAATTACATAGTTTTAAAATATTCAACCATGTAAAAGCCAATAATCTAGTCTTTTGATTTGCCAGTATCAGTCAAACCTTTGGTTAATTTTATTTGTTTTTTGAAGAGACATTGAGCACTTAAGGAGAGAAAATCCTACTCATCTGAGGCATATATGAATTCACAGAAGCTACTATATGAGCACCTTGAAGCCTAAAAGTAGATTTAAAAAAAGAATCCCTGATACTTGTTTAAAATAAATACATATAAAACATCAGAAAAAAATTAAAATTTTTACTCACTTGCTAAGAGAATTACATTTAATCGCTGATGCTCAATTCTTGAGGAAAAGTCAGGAGAAATTTACTTTTATTCAAATTTGTTAATGAATAGTGTGACCTTCTATGAAAAAACTTTAAAGTGAACTTCTGAGAAGTATAAAGTGCTTTCAATAATAAAAATAAATACAAAAGGATTTACACTCTATTTTCCCAGAGAGGAAGATTTTTTGTCAACAGAATAAAAAAAAGAAATAAAAAAAAAAAGGCAATAACCTCCTCCAAGACTATACACTGAGTCAGTTTTAAACTTTGTGTTATTATATGAAAATTAGTATGATAACCATTGTGCTTTTTACACAAGAGGTTGATATAGAATTCCTTTCCTGTTGAGATACAATCTACAGAGTTGCTTGATGAAGTACTGTTACTTTATTTCCATAGTCTAACAATTCCTCTGATTAAAGACTAAAGTGTATCGGATCCAAGCCAAGGTCCTCTCAATTACTTGCTATGTGGCTGAAAGCTGGATAATGACTTAAGATGACAGAAGAAGAATTGATACTTTTGGGTAGTGGTGCTGGAGAAAAGTATTGCATATTCCATTGATGCCAAGAGAACACTTTCTCCTGGAAACCAAGGTGCTGCTTGCTGGCAAGAATGGTCAAACTCTGACTCATATACTTTGGGCATGTGGTTTGGAAGGGCTCGTTAGTCCTAGGAGAAGGACATCATGCTTGAAAAGACAGGGGGTCAGCATAAGGAAGGAAGATCCTAGGCAAGATGGAGTGACACAGTGACTCTGATAACGGGCTCCAGTGTGTCTGCTATAGTGAAGATGGTATAGGGCAGGGTTCAAATTCCATGTTTACAGGGTCATTATGAGTCGCAGCTGACTTAAGGGCACAAACCACCACTACCACTAATAATAACTACTGTAAATTATATAGTCTAAAATCTTTTAATAAAGCATTCTACACTCTTCAACTGAGAATTAAGCCTTAATACTACAAGGCATACATTATATTAAATTATTCCCTTCTATGCATTTAGAACGACTTTTACCCAGTTAGAAAAATGACTAACAGATTTAATGTTGCTGCTCACCCTTGCTACATTTTCTTGTTGTTGTTGGTTTGTTTGGTTTTTGGGGATCTACCCTTTTCCTACTCCACCATCATCGCTTCTTACTTTTGCCTACACCATTCAAAACCCATCTCCCTTTGACCAGCCCTTGATGTGATGGCCTAAGTCTCAAGCCATCAGGATTTCAGTGATTCTAACATATCATGCTGCTGTCAGTCTCTTATGATGCAGCTAGTATGACTTCAATGTAAAGTTTCTAAGTACAACTGTCATGTACAACTTCTTTTCCTGGAAGGTTCTGAGAAAAAGTCCTTTTTCTTAAACTCACACTTCAGGATTGACTTCTTGTGGGTTGTCTTCTATTTGCAGCCAGGTGCTGATACAAAAGGATGGTTTCCCAGGAGAGAAGAATGTGTCTTCTACGACCAGTGCACAGTTTTTGTTTCTTCTCTGGCAATGGCATCCGCGGGGGGGCCCTGGCTAATGTCCCCATAGTACCTGGGATAAGGTGTGGAGATCAGGAAAGTTCCGCCTCTCTCTCCTCCCCAGTCTCCAAAAACTACTTCTCTGGCAATGGCATCCGTGGGGGACCCTGGCTAGGTGAACAGATTGAGATAGCTAACAGTTTTAGTTTACTTGGTTCCACAGTCAACACTCTTGGTAACAGCAGCCAGGAAATCAGGAGACAGATTGCCTTGGGAAAGTCAGCTGTGAGGGACCTCTCAAGAGTGCTGAAGTGCAACGACGTCAGGCTGGAGACTAAGGTGCGCCTGATTCAGGCTATAGTCTTCGCAATTAGATGCTATGCATCAGAGAGTCGGACAGTGAATAGGGATGATGGAGAATCGATGCCTTTGAACTGTGGTCCTGGAGAAGAGTGTTGAATATACCATGGACTGCTAGGAGAACAAACAGGTTTGTCCTGGAGAGGGTGAAGCGGGAATGCTCCTTGGAGTCAAGGATTCTGAAGCTTCGTCTGACATATTTTGGGCATGTTGCAAGGAGGGGACAGGTCCCTAGAGAGGGACATAATGTTTAGCAGAGTGAAGGAACAGCGCAGGAGAGGAAGACCCTTGATGAGATGGATCAATTCTGTGATCAGGGTGGCGGGAATAAGTGTGTTTGAGACGGCGAGGTTGGAACAGGATAGAACAGCATTTAGGGCTCTTGTACATAGGGTCGCTGAGTTGCAAGCAACTTGAAGGCACATAATAACAAACAACAACATGCATTTAGAAAGCTATTAACTATTAACTAGGAAGTAACTAAGAGAAGTAAGAAAAGAACTCATTATTATACAGGGCTTAATTCTTTGTTCCCTTGTTGGGGACACAAAAAAAGGCTAGTATCCATTTGCTAACAGGAGGAGAAATCAGGAAGTAACTTAATTCCAACCAAAGCATAAGGGAAAAATTGAAAAATAATCAGATAATTTCATAACTAAGTATATTTGAGAACCTCACATTACTGCAAGACTATTAACTGTAGACTGGGCACAAAACTAGGAAATGTCTCATATCTTAATTTAATTCTAACAACCAACTGAGATCCAACTAGTTAAGGGATTAGATTCATCAAGGTAAGATCAGAATTAAAGTCAACTGAACCTTCTGTATGTGAGCGGGTGAGAGTGGTGGTGATGTTATACAACAGGTCAAAACTAAGACTTTGTAGCCAAATGAGAAGGGCTTCAATTTGAGGTTTGACTATTCTAGTCAGAACACTCTTTCAAAGTCTGTTTCTTCACCTGGAAATCAAGACCACACCTCAATTACTGTGTCTACTTGGCCCACAAGCACACAATATTATGGAACGTTATTATTGTTTTCCTTGGTTTGGAGGGACAGAAATAACAATGGTGTGATAGAATCTTTGAGCTGACAGTCCAACATATTATACTCTATGCTGCCGGAGCAACCTGCCTGCATAGTTAGCTCTATTGCAAGTATATTCACCTATTACCCAGAACACTATTTTTATGTTATTAGCAGTGAGTTCTTGAGTTAAAATATTATATAAATTTTCCAGATGTGCAGGTTGGGTTTAGAAGAGATTGTGACAGTAGGACACTATAGCCAATATTAGATGGATCTTAGCTGAAAGCAGAGAGTACTAAAGGAATGTCTATTTTTGTTTCAAGAATTATGCAAGGACATTTGACTATGTGGATCACAACAAGTTGTGGCTAAATCTTGAAAGAAATGGGAATCCCAGAACACTTGACTGTTCTTATGCAAAAACTAGACTTAAACCAGAAGGCAGTCATCAGAACAGAGCAAGGAAACACTGCATGGTTCAAAATCAGGAAAGGTGTACACCAGGGATGCACCTTGTGTCCGTATCTTTTCAATTTATATGCAGAACAGATCACATGGGAGGCAGGTCTTTTTCTTTTTAATTGAGATTTTAATGAAAGTTTATAAAGAACTTGGGTTTCCAATCCTTTATTGTTGAACATTTTTCTCCCTGTCCCTTCTTCCCCCTCCCGCCCCCCAGATAACTTTTTCTCTTCAGAAAAAAAGTTCTTTCATTGTTATACAGTTGTCATCTCCCATCTCCCACCCAGATCGCTTTACTATGTATCTCTTATTCTGGACTCTTGTCATGACAATAATACCTAATCATATATTCCTTTTATACAGTTCTCTCCCTCGTCTGTTTCAATGCCATGTACATTATTTATCCCCTATTTTCTTCATTTTCCCCCAAGCTCCATGTCAGTCCTAATTTACAACAGTGGCATTATGCCATATTTGTCTTTTTGTGACTGAGAAACTTCACTCAGCATAATGTCCTCCATGGTCACCCATGTTGTATATTTTATGAGTTCTCTGTTGTTTTTTTTTTCACTGATGCATACTATTCCATTGTATGATTATACCACAGTGTCTCTATCCATTCATTTGTTGATGGGCACTTGGATTGTTTCTGATTCTTTGCTACTGTGAACAAAGCAGCAATAAACGTGTGTGGAGGCTGGTCTTTATGAGGAAGAATGTGGCATCAGAATTCAGAACTGGAGGAAGTTCATCAGCCTGCGTCATGCAGAAGACACAACTTTGCTTGCTGAAAGTAAGGAAGGCCTGAGACATAAGCTGCAAGAGGTCAAGGACTGTAGTATTCAATATGGATTGAAACTCAACATCCAGAAAACAAAGATTCTCACCACTGGGCCAAATGGCAGCATCATGATAGACAGAGACTGAGATTGTCAACAGCAGTTTCAGCTTGCTTGGCTCCACAATCAACACTCTTTTGGCACCAACAGCTAGGAAATCAAGACAAACTGCATTGGGAAAATATGTTGACAGAGATCTCTCCAGAATACTGAAGGGCAATGATGTCAGTCTAGACACTAAGGTTCACCCAATCCAAGCCATGGTCATCACAATTACTTGCTATGCATCAGAGAGCTGGATAATGACTAAGGATAACAATAGAATTGATGCTTTTGAGTTGTGGTGCTGAAGAAGAGTTATTGAACATACCATGGACTGCTAAGAAAACAAACAGGTCTGTCCTGGAGAGGGTGAGACCAGACTGCTCCTTGGAGGCAAGGATTTTGAAGCTCTGTC